ATTTTGGTTTGCGGTCCGCAACTTTAGAAAACCCAAAAGTTTCTCATGTTCTTTAAACTACATTAATAAGCCAAGACTTAAATCCACCTCAACACAAACAATGAATCTCAGATGACGGATTTGAGTTCACTAACAAAAGCAATGCCTCATTTATCCCTATGGGAGAGATGGATAAACTCTCCTCAAAAATTTATAAAGAAAACAAATTATCAAACGAAACGCATCAACATTTGTTGCAAACTTTCCCACGCAACACTCTCATCAAATTCTCACAACCACCTATGGACAAGGAACTGGCTAGACAAATGCGTAAAGAAGCAAAAGATGTGGACAAGACCTTGCAATGCGTATCTTATCGCACCTCTTCAATCCTTAGACCACTCGACAATGCAATTCGCACAATATATCAAACAAAACCTGATCCACAAAATGAACAAGCTACAGAAACATGGGAGTACATGGAACTATCATTACTCGCAACAAGAACACTATTCCTGGATTCACTATTATACATTAGTGAACAATGTGAGAAAAATGCTATCAAGTGCTTATACCCCACTTATCAACTGAAATCGGAAGTTGAACCCCTCTTCACTGATAAACTTAAAGATGTTATTAAAAACAAAAATGAAGAGGCAAAATTTTTCAATGATGCCTTATGGCAGAACAAACATGCACAATCCTTCCAAAAATGATACAAGAATAAACCATTTCAACAAAACAAGTACAAGGGAAAGTATCCCCAACGCAATCCATCGAATCTATGGTCACAAAATTCAACACGTTGAAAACAAAATCAGAATTTTTTTCAAAACGACACCCAGTCACAAAACCGGCAATAACAAGCAACATAGGTGGAAGATTATCTTACTTTTTTCCAAAGTGGACCGAGATAATCGGAGAATCTTGGGTAACAGACATCATAAAGAACGGCTATATACCCACCTGGCAAAATGTACCACCTTTAAGGCATCAAGCACTCACACACAAAAATCGATCACATCAGGAAAATTCATTGTTAGAAAAGGAAATCAAGGATCTTATCAACCAGAAAGTTATAATAAAATTTTCTACCAACGCACCATGCTTTTTATCCAATCTGTTCTTAGTTCCCAAAAAAACTGGAGATCTTTGCCCAGTTATAGACCTTCGTTGCCTAGATTACTTTGTATTACACCAAAAGTTCAAAATGGAAAACATTCAACTAGTAAAATAATTAATAAGACCAGGAGACTATATGTCCAAAATCAACATAAAGAATGCATTTTACCACATTCCTCTAAACCCAAGCGTAAGAGCATTCTTTACATTCGACTTCCAAAATTCATGTTATGCATTCACGGCCTTGCCATTTGGCTTAACGACAAGCCCCAGAGTCTTCACCAAAATCATGAAACCGATTATGAAAATTCTCAGAACACAAGAAATAAGAGTGATCACTTACTTAGACGACATATTAATTTTAGCGGAGTCAAAAAGATTGGCACTTGAACACACTCGCAAGGTTTATGGGATGCTAAGCTACCTTGGATTCATAATAAACAAAGAAAAATCGCAGATATCACCAGTAACAACAATTGAATTTCTTGGCTTTGAAATAAACTCACAGGAGATAACACTCAAAATCCCAAAAAAGAAAACTACAGAGATCATCCAAGAATGCAGAAAAATAAAATTAATGGGCATGATACACGTACAAAAATTGGCATCCTTACTAGGGAGATTAAGTGCTACAGCAGAAGCTCTTTACCCAGTAAAACTCTTCTCAAGAGCATTACTCAGAGACAAGAATCGAGCCCTAAAATTCAGAGGATAGAATACAATAGTGAAATTATCGAAGGAGAGTCGTCTACAACTAAATTAGTGAATATACAACCTGAACCAATGAAATGGAAAATGAGTCGTTATCAAAGAAGCCACCATGACAATCTATACAGACGCCTCCAAATCAGGGTGGGGAGCAGTCTTGAATGAAGAAGTAATATCAGGAACTTGGAGGAATCAGACGAGACAGAAGTACATAAACTTACTAGAAATAATGGCAGTGAAAAATGCATTAAACAAATGGACTTATATTAAGAATCAGTCAGTCCTAATCAAGAGCGACAACATGACAACAGTATCATATATAAACAATCAGAGTGAGACAATATCACCACGAATGAGCCTTCTAGCAGAATCTCTTTGGAGGGAATATATTCGTCACCAGATAACTCTTAAAACAGAACATATTCCGGGCCGACTGAATGTTATAGCGAATCAAGCATCACGAGGGATACAAGATCGTCACAATTGGTCAATAAAACGTCAGATTTTCAACCGAATAGAACAAATTTGGGGGCCGAGGAACATATACCTATTCGCAAACTCCAGGAACCATCTAACACCAATTTATGTATCTTGGAAACTAGACCCGAAAGCAATAGCTATAGATGCTCTATCTTTCCCATGGAAGGGATGAAATATATGGGCCAACCCACCATGGATTCTACTACACAAAATATTGAACAAGGTTATGAGAAAACAAGTAACAATCATACTAGTCTTCCCACGATAGCTATCAGCACCATGGTTCCCAACACTCCTATCACTATTGAACGATTTTCCCAGAATAATTTCCAAGCATTCAACGATTCCGACAGGAGATTATTACCAACACCTTCAGGTGATGAAATGGGATCTTTGTGTAGCACGTATATCAGGACTCGCCTCTTGAACCAAGGCCTTTCAGAAAAAGCTACAAAATTATACGAAGCAGCATATGACATCAATTCATCAAAAACAGTATTATCAAACATTAAACGATGGATTTCTTGATGTAGTGAAAAACAAACAGATCCCATTACTTGCCCTCTAAGCAATATAATTGAATTCTTCGAAGATCAGGTTAATACAGGAAAAGCATACAATACAATTGCTGGATACAGGTCAGCAATCAGCGAAATACATGAATGGATTGACTTTTCACCCGTGGGTTCACATCCTACTACTATAAAGGCTATGAGAGGTGTCTATAACAGAAACCCACCTAGTTCTAATGAAGATAATGTAGTCGATCTAACCCCAGCCTTTGATAAAATTCGTTCCTTCGAAGACAACAATATGATGAAAATTTCCCTTTTGCTACGAAAAGTAGCCTTTCTACTTGTCTTAACTACAGCTAGTTGCCCTTCAGATCTAGCTCAAATTGATCTCACAACCTGCAAACTATTAGATGATAGTGTCTTACTTACAATTAAAAATCTCAAAGAACATAAAATTTCACTATCCCACGGAGGAAATAAATCAGCAACTAAACAAATCTACATTGTAGACTACAAGGAGTTACCTGATATATCCTGTAGTCGCAGTAAATGTTCTTTTAAAACGCACAGAGTCATGGCAAATAACAACAGAACAAAAATCCTGTCTGTTGCTTACCTCAACAATAAACCATAAACCACCAGCATCGTCCACAATTGCCAATTGGATCAAAGAAATTCTTATAGAAGCATCTCCTAGCCTTAGAGCCAAAGATGCAAGAGCACTGGCAGCCTTTTACACTCAATCCTCTGGGGCAAATTTATCCACAATCTTAGCAATGGGAAACTGGTCTAGCCATGGAATATACCAACAATTCTACCAAAGGGGTGTTATGTTGATGATACAGAAGACTCGCGTAGTACAAGGAATCCTGTCATCAGCTAATTGCAACAAAAATTCTACTCCACATTAGCCACATGATCTGCAATTCACTTACGAAGCAAAGTTCATTTATTCAAATGTATAAGCATCGCGAAATGCATTTGTAAATGAACAAGCGTAGTAAGTAAATCAAAGATCATTGTTTCCCACCACATCTCTCCCACTTAATTTATCTAAAGACAATCAAAAAAAAAAAAGAGAGAGAAAGGGAGAAGAGCATAAGAATAATAGAATATAGTTTTAAAAAAAAAAAA